AGGTCCTTGTATTTTGATAGCTTTTTGAAGAACTTCAAAGATACACTGCAGACTGCAGGGACTGCCATGTCAATAAGAAGGTAATTTTTTTGTTTTCGGTCTTTAATCACGGTGTATGGGCGCTTACCTTTGGTTGTTCTGTCTCTGTGTATTGTATAGTCCCATAAAATTGTAACAGGTTCAAACTCAGTAACCGGGTCTGGGTGGTGTTCATACCAATTTCTTTCAGTTTCATTTCCGTAGAAGTTGCAGATTTTCCAATGCAGATATTGTCCCAATCTGTGGTTTACATTCTTTGAGTGTCGATACATCGCAACCTGATACAAGATGATCAATTGTTTCTGGATATTTATCACTGAATCTGCATTTTGAGCAAACACCATATTTTAGTATCTGTGATTGATAATTTCTAGTTAACAAGCATTGGTCCTGAGCCTCAAGGATAAAACCCTCGGTTTCAGCTTTTAACCCTGCAGTATGTCGCCACTGATGGGTCCGAGGTTTGTCTACATCTGCTTTTTTGCTATTGGCAGAGTATTGACCTTCAAGCAGTTTATCTTGTCATCGTCTCTAGATCTGGTTGGTTTTATTTGCTTTTGCTTTCCTTTTAAAGCATTTTGCAACCTCAGTCGGTGTATTGTGCTTTACTCATATTTCTACACCCATTTGAAACTCCATTTCGAACTTGTTGGCCTTCTTTACAAAGTCTTATATTATTTTCATATTCTCAGACACATCATCATCTTGTTTTCTGTAGTTTCCGAGTATCTTTGAAGACGAAATTTTGTAGTTTTGTAAGAAGGTTCTAGTTGAACTAATCCTCTACCTTTTTCGGATCTTGGCACATAGAGCCGATTATTATTATTATTATTATTATTATTATTATTATTATAACATACTGGCTTTCATAGACGCTTTTCAAGGTGAGCAGTATATAATCTTTGGAATAAAGGTATGTAAGAAACGTAAAACTTTCATATGAGCTAAACTTTAACTGTCAATATGAAGAGTGAAATTTTGAAATTATAAATTTAATGATTGGGTTTCAACTGTTGAACGCAGTTAAGCAAGTGTCCGTGGAAGCAGTTTGTTGTCACTTATCGTGATAGCAAATTTGTCATTTTGCCAGAACAAACCTTTATTGCCTTGAAACATGGCCACCATAAAATGTCATTTCTGTCACGACGTATTATTGAGATGTTCTAAGCGTGACCTAGATGTGGCACAAGGCCGAAAATTTGGAGCATCCAGTGAGGATCGAACTCCCTACTCACTCGTAATTGTTCTAGTGAGACAAGCTTGTTAACTATTACACCACCTCAAGTTGCCCAATGACGTATTACTTGTTCCCTTTGCGAATCGAGCAGAAGGCACTCTCTGGCAAATCGATGATATTACGCAATCTGTTCTACGGAGAACTAGACTATCTTCCTAGCAGAGTTGAGAACTGTAAAACTGTTCTATTGACAATGTTACATGCATAGGTGAGAAACAGCAACAGGTTTAGTAGTTTCAATGATGATACTTTGTCATGAGTAGTACTGATAATCTTTATGAAATGCAGCCTATGCTAGTCGCCCACCAATCTATCGTTTTGTGATGTCAACAAACACTCGTTGCCACTTTCGTGATGCCAACAAAAACTCTTTGTCACTTTCGTAATACTCGTTGTAGTAGAGACTTTGTAATCACAGATAAAACTATAGTAATGCCGATGAACAATACTAGTGTCATACGCCTTCGAATAACCTCGCTCTTATAGTACTTGCTCGATAACACTCGCTCGAATAGTAATCCGTATAGTGATCGGAAAAGAGAGATGGTGTAGTGTATAGAACAGAAAATAGCGATCTGAATAGTAATAGAGGATATAATAGAAATAGAGATCCGTATAGTATAGATGATAGACTAGGAATAGTGATCCGAATATTATTAGAGGATAGACTAGAATAGAGATTAGTCGTCAGCTACTTCCGATATATTAGGTCATCCCATAAGTTCTGTCCGAATTTTGAATGAAGAAAACAAGTGAACAAATGTTACATTTAATTACAGATTCAATCAACAATGTATTTTCCCTGAGTATCTATGACTTCCTTCCATCTATTAACAAGCATACTAATTCTATTACTGTAAAATTCTTTTGGCTTTGATTCGAAGAACTCGCAAAATTTAGTTTTAACCTCTTCCTGTGTTACAAAAGCTGTTTCTTCCAAATGATTCTGTAAGCTACGAAACAAATGGTAGTCAGAAGGAGCAAGATCGGGAGAATAAGGTGGATGTGGAATTTTCTCCCAACCAAGTTCTTCGATCTTTTGTGACGTGATTCTTGCTGTGTGGGGTCGCGCATTGACCTGATGAAACATCACCTCTTTTCAATTCACTAGAGCAGGTCTTTTTTTCGCCAAAGCTTGGTTCACACGCTCTAATTGCTGACAGTATATTTGAGCATTATTTGTTGCATTAGGTGGTAAGAATTCAAAGTGGATTATTCCTTGGCGATCCCACCAAATTAAAAGAAGAACCTTTTGCTGTGGCGTGGGTCCTTCCCCTTTACCAAGCTACTGTTTACGACGCTTAACATTTCGATAAAAGATCCATTTTTCGTCGCCAGTCACAAGTCTATCCAAAAAAGGTGAAACAAGTTGGCGAGAATGGAGAGAAGAGCAGATGTCAACTTGGGATTTGAGGTTGCTTTTAGACAATTCATGAGGCACCCATTTTCCAAGTTTAGGAACTTTTCCAAGTTGTTGAAGATGGCGATGGACCTTTTTTTCGATTGACTTGTGACTGGCGACGCAAAAAATGGATCATAAAAATAATACCAGCTTCCATTTTTATCGAAATGTTAAGCGTCGTAGACAGTGGCTTGGTAAAGCGCAGGAAGGACCCACGCCACAGCCGAGAAGGAACTTCATGGGCAAAAGGTTCTTCTCCATTTAATTTGGTGGGATCGCAAAAGGTTCTTCTTTTAAGGAATAATCCACTTTGAATTCTTACCACCTAATGCAACAATTAATGCTCAAATACACTGTCAGCACTTAGAACGTTTAAACCAAGCTTTGGCGAAAAAAAGACCTGCTCTAGTGAATTGAAAAGAGGTGATGTTTCCTCAGGACAATGCGCGTCTCCACACAGCAAGAATCACGTCACAAAAGATCGAAGAACTTGGTTGGGAGAAAATTTCTCATCCACCTTATTCTCCCGATCTTGCTCCTTCAGACTACCATTTGTTTCGTAGCTTACAGAATCATTTGGAAGAAACAGCTTTTGTAACACAGGAAGAGGTTAAAACTAAATTTTGCGAGTTCTTCGAATCAAAGCCAAAAGAATTTTACAGTAATGGAATTAGTATGCTTGTTAATAGATGGAAGGAAGTCATAGATAATCAGGGAAAATACATTGTTGATTGAATCTGTAATTAAATGTAACATTTGTTCACTTGTTTTCTTCATTCAAAATTCGGACAGAACTTATGGGATGACCTAATATATCGGAAGTACCTGACGACTAATCTCTATTCTAGTCTATCCTCTAGTAATATTCGGATCACTATTCCTTTCACCATACGGTCAGTTTTAGACCCACTGGAGTGACAGGGTGTAATCAATTTCTAATTTTTCCTCAGATTAGGTCATTTGCAGTGGTGTGCAGTAATATGAATCTGTTTTCGGGGTGTATCATGAAATTTGTTTGGCCTTGAAAAATATTGCGTCATCCGTGATTGCATCAGATTTTTATCACGCACAGACACTATTGTCTCGACTGTTGATTAGTTGCCCTACGCTCATTTTCTGCGATGGACGTTACTCCAAGAAAGCACACGAAATTGTAACGCTGCAGGAACACACTGGCAGGTGTTACCAGTAAGCAAATCAAAGTACTATAGACTGGCCTCGAAAATCTCCTGATTTAAATCTAATCGAGAATCTGTGGTCAGTCTGCAAGGAACGATTTCGTGGAATGGACACAGAAAGTAGAAAGCACTGGGCCATGTTTCATTGAAAAAATACACAGAAAAGTAAATAATAAAGGAATTATTCGTTTTGTTTCAATTAATTTGCAAAAGTGTGTAATATTTAACTGACTGTAAGAATATTGCATTTGTCGGAATTACTTTTAAATCGATTTGCGTTTGTTTATATTTAATTACATTATTTATAAAAGAGATAAAAAGTAAAGCGAAAATACAAATCATTTGTCGCGTTGCATATGGAAACCTTTCCTTGGCGCATCTATCGCCGATAATGAGGTGAACTTTTGAAATAATCTCTATCTGATAGGTTTTCCGACTGAAATCGGATTACTTATGATAAACAAATAAAAACCGACGTAGTAAATGATATTAGATGTTTCACCTGCCGAAAGCAAATTCTTTTTAATCTGGTAAAATTAGAAAAATGAACTTGTATTTTCTATGCCGAAATAAGTACGGTACACGGTCACGAGTGCAGAAGGGGTTCAGAATACATTTCAACTAGGAACTAATTTCAACTCGGAACTAATTTCAACCTGGAATTAATTTCACCTCGGAACTAAGGGTTAGGTTAGGATTAGGGGTAAGCCGTTAGGATTAGGGTTAGGGTTTTTAAATAAAGTTGAAATTTAGTTCCGAGTTGAAATTAATTCCGAGTTGAAATTAGTTCCGATTTGAAATTAATTCCTAGTAGAAAGTAATTCCGAGTTGAAATTAGTTCTGTCACCACTGAGGATAGATCTTAGTACAGCTGTATTTGATTCATTGATGGCTTCGTTTATTACGGCTTATCAACTTTTGCAGGTTATTTAAAGCCATAAAATTGTTTTAGATTGCAAGATTTTTTTTTTTAGAAAATAATGGTTTAGTGATACACCTCTTACTGATTAACCCATATTTGGTGGAGAAGATTCATACATTTCCCAAGCCTTTTTGCCCGTAAGTGAACCTAACAGGAATTGGAACTCAGAAAACCGAGTAATAATTCCAATCCTTTATCCATTACACCTTCTGCACACCCAAGCTTACAGTACCTGGTTTTCTAAATAGTCACCCATCCAGGTACTGACCATGTTCAGCGCTGCTTAACTTCAGTGATCATAAGGGAACAGGTATTTCAATGTTATGTGGCCGTAAACCGATAGACCGTTTATATCATTGATTACCAACCGATTTTGTGCCACGTCACACTTTGGTATTTCTAAAATTTTGTTGCCTCCTCCCCGTAATATTTAATTCTTACATAATCAAAATTTTACTGCAATTCACGTGAATTAACTTGGTCTCCAAAGACCACGGCGTCCATGAAAGAGAAAAATTAAAAAAAAAAACAAATTGACAATTAAATATATATAATTACAAAACATATAATAGAGACCTGAAATGCAGAAATATAAAATATTTGAAGGAAATGTTATTCTGTAATATACTTTGATCATTTTAATCATGAAATAATAATGCAGAATGAAATTTGAGTTCACTAGAAAAAGTCCAATTTTAATAACTCATTCTCGAATTGCGCCTTTATTCTGTTGGTATAGTAAGACAAAAGGTGCACATCCTATACATGCCCCGCCAAAATATTACCAGGTCCCACTGTTGGGGCATGCGTCCCATGTTGGAAATCATTAGTTCATATATATATATATATATATATATATATATATATATATATATTACTTAGATCAATTTGGAATAGATGGAGATATCATTTTGCGTCTCAACCAATGAAAATTTAATCACTACAGGAATAATGAACAACTTTTCCAAAGAAAGAAGCTATATACTGAGATTAGAATAATCAGTCACAAAGCCAAGTGTTTAGTTCAACCAATAGATCAACAACACTACGGCAGTAATAGTCTAGACCAGCTCTTCTGAAGCTTTTTTCATTCATGGCCCTATTTTTCATGACGAGACTTTTCGGGACCTCAGGTATTAAACCAACTGTACTCAAAATACATTCGTTGTCACTGCACTTAGTCGCAATGGCGCTGCACGAGCGTTTTATTACCGCAGCCCTTGGGTGACGCGTCCCCTTAGATATTATGCGTTTGGGAAATAACAGAAACTGAAATTTAAGTGTTTGTATTTAAATTCTGCCACTCCAGCATTTCGCTTCGTGACCCATTTGAAGTGGCAACACATAGTATAAGAACTTTAATTATTGCTTTTTAAAACAACAAACTTTACCGAGGGGTGACGGTAGATAAGGCAATAGCGGTGTCAATGGAAAAACCGTTCTTTTATGAGCAAGAAGGTTCAAGCTTGGAAATATACGGTTACCGCTCAACACTCCTCAAGGCTCGTTCCAGGAACGTAGATGTTTTGTGACCCACCGACTAAAATGTGATGTAGAAAAAACACGCGTTTTAAAAATTGGTAAAGGAAAAATTCTTAGGTTATTTGGTGACGGAAGCCTGTAATATCTGTAAACGCATAGCTTTCTTTAAAATTTATAGGATTTATTCGTTTGAAATCATCTTTCTGTATACCAGTTGTATATAGATACTTTTGATATCCATATGAAGACCTAAAAGAGATGTGTTTTTTTTTTTTTTGAGAGCATGTCTCAAGATTATTTGCATTATTTTATTATTCGGACTGTTATCCTCATCTTCATTGGCATATGTTTGTCAATGTGCAGAGCATAGTTTAGGAAAAGTCGCCTCTAAGTGTTGATTTCAATGTTCACTTTTACATTTATACACGCTCTATCTCTGATATTGAACACTTTATTCCATAAATATAACATATATATATATATATATATATATATATATATATATATATATATATATATATATATATATATATATATATATATATATATATATATATATATATATATATATATATATATATGGAAATCAACACCTCAAGACGACATTTTGTTTCATGCTAAACGCAATTGTCAATGCCCTGTCACTTCTGGGTGTTGACTTCAACGTCCGCTAAAAATATTTACATCCGGTCTATACTTGATATTGAACACTTAAACCCATAAATATAAGATAACTATATTTTATCATGTGTAGCGGCTCGGATTGAGGAATCGGAGAGCCGAGTTCGAATTCTATCCGAATCCATGGCATTCACTTACGTGCTAATACCCTTGGGAATCCTTTATTTCTCCCCTCAGCTGTGGGTAAATAGCAAAACCGAGTGAGTTCTATAGCCTTGGATGGAAAATTGTCTACCACAGAAAGAAATGGCAACTTACTGCGTGAAGAAAATCTGCCTGGTCAGTCATATATCGATGGATACATGATCACTAAAGCGTGTATCACGCCTGATACATAACTGATATATATATATATATATATATATATATATATATATATATATATATATATATATATATATATTATAAATTAATTGATTTAAAATATTTTTTTTATTACAGTTTTAAAATATGTTTTTTTCGCTACACAGTTCCAACCATGTTTTTGAACTATGTATCGAAAAACATATTTTAAATCAATTAATTTATAATACTAATGCTCTGCAAATTTACATTGAGCATTATTTTGTAAAAATAAAAAATATCTATAAGAACAGCGGATTATATATCTTATTATTATTTCCTTTTACACACACACACATACACATATATATATATATATATTGAATAGGACGTGTACTTAATGTCTGTTAAACATGTGTGTGTGTATGTGAATGTGTGTCTGTCTGTGTGTTAACCTAACCTGGTGAATATTTATGAGCGTTTCTTCAATTGAAAAATTTAGAAAAACTAGAAAAATTTTTGCTATTGTCTATAAACATTTGTTACAAAGTAAAATCTTTGCATTTGCCTTGATAAAGTCCCTCAAAAGACGAACGGCTAAGATAATTTTTCTTTTTGTATCTATATATAAATTTTTATCATGTCTCACTATCTCATATATATATATATATATATATATATATATATATATATATATATATATATAAGAGAGATAGAGGACATGAAAAAATGACTGTCTTTGGATAGCCATAATCCCTTATGTTCTGAATGGACACGACATTAAAAACACAAAAAAAAAATGTGGCACCATTTACGAGGCAGAGAAAGGAAGAGAACGAAAAGAAGGCAGAAAGAAAGGCGAGACGAATCGTAGGTGATAAGCAGCCACACACACGGCTAAGAGACAATGAAAATATTGATAAGTAACAATGAAAAGGGTGTCATTACAATGACAAGGAATTTCTGAGTAAAAAGAAAGGAAAGAAAGAAGGAATCAGATGTGTTTTGATAACGGCTGTGTTATCTAGGTGCGTAAACGAACGGCTGGACCACTGGCCAGGGAAAAATTCAAGTGAAAATGCTATTTCGATAAGTGACGAGAAACAGGCCAGTAAAAAGGACTTTGGACAGATATGAAAAATTAAATCCCACACAAGCAGTCCCGCTGACCGAATTCTTTTCGACGAAACAACTTTGGCCTGCGATAATAAAATTATGTTATCAGGAATATGTACCGAAGGAAAATGAATGGGGACCCAGAAGTGTTTTTCTTTCTTCCTTGGAGGCGACAGACTGACTGAAAACTTTGGGGATATTTCTTTTTTGAAGCCATGTTAAGAATACCACCCATCTTGATAAATTAGCGATAAAATACCTGACAAACACCACGTGTAAAACAAGAGTTGTCATATTGTCCGTTGCGACTAGAAGGGTGATAACGGCGATTGAAAGGAAAAGGGAAAGAGAAGAGATAATTTTTTTTTAGTTGAGCAAGATATTTTTTTTCACGAAACAAAGCCACGGATTGTTCACGCCCGACTAAGACATCATTGGTCAAGTGGTGATCACGTGACGCACGAAGGAGGAGGAAAGATACCCGACCAAGACCTCATTGGCCGAGTGGTGATCACGTGACGCACGAAGAAGGCTGTCGACGCCCCATCCAGAGTATAAGTATGAGAAGCTGCTACGAAGAAGTGCGGAGGGCAGTTCACCCCTCAGAGGTATGGTGAGAAAGTGGGAGGAGGAAAGGTTCCCAAAAATGGAAAAGTGTGGAAAATCCCTAACCAGAAATAAAAAGAGGTGGATATGTATTTAGAATTATCGAGGAACCCCTGACGCCAACAGACCCACCCTGGTTTTGGTCGGCGTCAATAAAAGCGAGGCCCCAACAGGCAGAAATCAGTTCAGGCTCCAGCAGAGAGCTGAGTTTTCAGAGTTGAAGCCGCCTCGAGATAGCTGACCAAGATTCACGCAAATTTAGGACTCCTCTTCAACACAAAAACACTTATTTTGAAGAGCGACTTAGAACCAGACCACAGAAATAAGTTTTTAGACTTTCGTCCAAAGACACCCTGAAACACCAATTTCTTAGAGAGCAAACAACTTGAAGAGTTAAAACTTGCCTAGCGGAAACGACGTGTCACAATCCACAGAACGGGTCGGGAGACAGATGCAGTCCTATGTATCGAACAACTAGACATAAAGTTTGTTACCTTTTTCTTTGATACTTTGAACTTTTTGAGTTTTCATTTTATTTTCTTTTATGCATATTTGTGTAGTATCACCTCCGTTGAACTCAGTTTGTATTATGGCCCCAACCACTGTTTGATCTCGTCTGCCTAAGATCAATTCACAACGTCGGTAGGTGAACTGGAGATCAATGCAGTTACCTTGGTAACCAGGCGTTGGAAGCGAGTTGGGAACGACGAGGCTGATATCAAATCTAACCAGATTCCCACCCGAATCACCAAAAGGTTAGAACGTCACATTTGGGTGTCGCGACCGATACCAAGCCAGTTGGTCGTCACAGGACGAGACAACACGACTGACGCGACAGGCGGACGTCACGTTTGGAGCAGCGACACCCGAACGGAGCAGCGAGGAGCGAACAGCTGGCGCCGCGGCGAGGACGTCACAATTGGTGCTGTTTGGGGACGTCACAACTGGTGCCGTGGTAGATCAGGATAGAACGTCACAGTCGGTGCTGCGACCGGGGGACAACGTCACAATATATAATTTATAATTTTGCTTTTGTCTACTGTTATGGGATCCACCCCTTTTTCATATGTGGACTCGACCAGAGTGTTACTGGGACTGCTTCCGTTAAATACCCTGAGTCAGAATATACGGAGATCGAGAGAGATTGTGATTGAGTTGGAGGTAGA